GTCCCCACCTCCGTATTTTTAGTCCCTACCTCCAAGGTTTATCATTAGGCCAACAAGATTACACACGCCCGTCGCCTCCATCCTCTTAAGCACCTGGAGCAAATTTCTCTCCTGACCTCATCCCCAGCTCCCCTCCCACCCAGGGGTCCGGCAGCGACTCCCCATCCCCAAGCTCCACATGGACACCCTCCGGCCCCGCTCGCACTGGAGCATCACTGCAGCACCCTCAGTGTTCCCCCCACTGGAGGGCTGCCCCACAGCCCTTCCAAGCCAAGCACTGATTTGTGGGGTGCATTTAAAACACAAGACAAGGGAGGGGGAAAGAGGGAAATGCCCCCCCCATCACCACGCTGGGACAGACCTACCTGCAGCCCTCGGCGTCCTGCAGCGAGACCCCCGAGTCCCAGTCCCCGTCGCTCGCCGGCACCTCTGAAACGTAGAAGGGGAGGAGTAGTCAGCTTGGCCAGACTGTGGCAACCACCCACCCCCTCCTTACTAGCCCCCCTCCTGCACCCCACAGCCCCATGGCTCCATTTGTCCTAGCAAACTCTTTTTGGGGCTATCCATCCCAGCTGCTCGGCTTTGGAGAGACCCCAGAGGAGCAGGACACCCAGTGGGGATGGGGACATCAGGGCAGATGCTTTTGAAGGAGAAATTCATTCCCTTTTCCGGCGGTGGCTTGGCAAAGGGAAGATGATGCCCGCAGACCTTGAGTGCCTCAGAATGTGGGTTTCTTGCTTTTAGCAGAAAAATTCCTCACCGGGGCACCGGAGGGGACTGGCAGCATGCAGAGCATCCCAGGGAAGAAGCACCCCATTTTGTCTGTGGGCATCTCCTACCACTGCCAGTGAAGGTGGTGCAGCCCCGGGGTGTGAACGAGCGCGGAGCTGCACCCACAGGGTGGGAGGATGGAGGAGGAGGGCACCGGGGACTCCCCCACTTCACCCCAAAAGATTTTGCCTTCTTGCTCCCCCCTCCCCATCACCACGCTGGGACAGACCTACCTGCAGCCCTCGGCGTCCTGCAGCGAGACCCCCGAGTCCCAGTCCCCGTCGCTCGCCGGCACCTCTGAAACGTAGAAGGGGAGGAGTAGTCAGCTTGGCCAGACTGTGGCAACCACCCACCCCCTCCTTACTAGCCCCCCTCCTGCACCCCACAGCCCCATGGCTCCATTTGTCCTAGCAAACTCTTTTTGGGGCTATCCATCCCAGCTGCTCGGCTTTGGAGAGACCCCAGAGGAGCAGGACACCCAGTGGGGATGGGGACATCAGGGCAGATGCTTTTGAAGGAGAAATTCATTCCCTTTTCCGGCGGTGGCTTGGCAAAGGGAAGATGATGCCCGCAGACCTTGAGTGCCTCAGAATGTGGGTTTCTTGCTTTTAGCAGAAAAATTCCTCACCGGGGCACCGGAGGGGACTGGCAGCATGCAGAGCATCCCAGGGAAGAAGCACCCCATTTTGTCTGTGGGCATCTCCTACCACTGCCAGTGAAGGTGGTGCAGCCCCGGGGTGTGAACGAGCGCGGAGCTGCACCCACAGGGTGGGAGGATGGAGGAGGAAAACACCGGGGACTCCCCCACTTCACCCCAAAAGATTTTGCCTTCTTGCTCCCCCCTGCTCTACCAAAACAGCCACCGGCTGCCCAAAATACTCACCGGGGGCGGCAAGGCCCAGCACCTCCTGCAGCAGCCGACGGTTCCTCTCCACCCGCTCGGCCAGCGAGAGCCTCTCCCAGCCCTCCACCACGGCTGGGGACACAGGGGGACCCTCTCTGTCCCATGGTGGGGTTCGTTCCTCTTCTCCCATGGGGGGTGTCTCATGGAGGGAGGCAGAGCCCCGGGACCCACTGCCCTCCTCCGGCAGCAGCTCAGCACCTCCTGGCACATCCCTCCTGGTTGATGGCACCCTCCAGAGCCCTGGGGTGCCGGGGCGGGGGGCTGGGGGCTCCCCACCATCCAGCAGCCCGTCGGTCAGGTAGGTGCGGAGCTGAGCCCGCGGCTCCAGCGCCGCCACATCCGTCCCTGGCTTCCCCCGCCGAGGCCGGGTCTTCTTGGGTGAGGGGGTGGCTGTGGGGGTCCCTGGCCGGCCAGCCCCCCGCTTCTCCTTCAGCGCCTTCACCTTGCTCTCCAGGACTGCGTGGGGGCCATGAGGGGTCTCGGGGTGGTCCGCTGGCGGGGGGGTCTGGCCGTGCTGCTTGGGGGGCAGCCGTGGTGGCCGCCGTGTCTCAGCGGGAGAGCCCCCCTCCATGTGTCCTGCGGGGAGACAACCCCAGGGGAAGGATGGGCAAGCCCCCCAGCGCTGCCCTCACCCTCCTCCCACCCAGTGCCCGCCTTGGTGCCTCCTGCATAAAACCAGCATCCCCCGTTAATTAGGCAGTGGGTAGGGTGATCCTGTGCAGCAAAAGTTTGCAGTGCCAGGGCAGAGAACAGCCCGGCAGGGAAGGGGACAGGGACGTGGCACAGCATGAGGCCAGCCGGAGCACGGACACTCTTCCAGCATCGCTCTGGGGCAGGGGGAAAGGGGGTGGGCTCCCCCAAAACGGGCGGCCAGGGGCTGAGCAGGAGCGGGGGAGGCCTGCCCGTGGTGTTTTGGGGTGCCCTGGGGCACCCCAGTGAGGTGCTCCGGGGAGAACCGGCACTCTCTGAGCCAAATCAGCGCCCCCCAAAACTCCCCAGAAGTCCTGCTGGGTTGCAACTCACTGGAGATGCCACCAGAGAGACACCAGCCCCCCCCAGCTCCACCCCAGCTCTCAGCCAAATCAGCACCCCCCAAAACTCCCCAGAAGCCCCACCGAGTTGCAACTCACCAGAGATACCACCAGAGAGACACCAGCCCCCCCCTCTCCACCCCAGCCCCCCAGGGTCACTTGTGTCACTCGTCCTGCACCAGCCTCATGGTCCTGGTGGCACCCAGGTGCTGCTGCCCCACTGTACCCCACACCGGGAGCGTCCCCATCCCCACTGGTACCCCTGGAGGAACCTCCCCCATGGCTGGGGCATCCCCCGAGCACCCCCCCAGTCCCTGGGGTCACCGAAGCCCCCACACTGCCCCAGGGCAGAGCAGCAGCAGGATGGGGGCCATGGATGGGAGGCGAGGGCTTGTCCTTACCCCCGGAGCAGCATCGGGAGAGGGCTGGGAAGAGGGAGAAGAAGGCGGAAGAAGGGAAGGAAGCAGGGGAGGGAAGAAAAAAAAATTGGAAAAAAAAAAAGACAAACCAGCAAATCCCAGCCCCTTCAGCCGAGCACAGCCGCTTGGCTGGGCTGTGGGGCCGTGGCCAGCCCTGCCTCCCGCCTGGGCCTCCTCCTCCTCCTCCTCCTTCTCCTCTGCACCCCACGCCAGGGCACCCGGCCAAATCCTGCCCCAGCCCCGCGGCCCAACCGCCTGCCCCCAAAGGGCCATGATGCCACCGCGGCTACTTGTGGCGTTACAGGGGGACGGAGGGGACCCCAGGGGAAGAAGGAACCCAACACCTCACTCTGGGCCGGAGGGAAGCCCAGCTGCCTTGGCTGGCTCTCAGGAATGTCCTTTGTCTGGGCTGCGGGTTTTGGGAGGCGAGCGAGCGTGGAGCAAAGCCAGCCCACCTCCCCAGGGCAGCCAGGGAGGGGGGACACATCTGACCATGGGGTGCTGGGGGGGGGTCTGCCCTGCGGATGGGGGCTCCAGGAGGGCAAACAGGCGGAGAGGGTGGTCCCACCAGGGTGGGGGTGTTTTCTCTAACAGCCTTCAGACCAGCAGTAAAGCCCCGCTGGCTTCAGGCAACCTCGGGCGAGCATCAGACGTGCTAAATTCTCCTGCTTCCCCCATGGCCAAATCCTGCCTGGACCTACCAACCACCCAGGGCCAGCAGCTCCGGACTGAGCATCTTCAGGCAGGACGGTGGTGGGAGCTGGGGGGGGAGCTGAGCTTGGTGTCTATCCATCTATCATCCCCCCCCTAAAACTACCATGCAACACGCACCCCACCTCCTCCTCCTCCTCCTCCTTCTCCTCTGCACCCCACGCCAGGGCACCCGGCCAAATCCTGCCCCAGCCCCGCGGCCCAACCGCCTGCCCCCAAAGGGCCATGATGCCACCGCGGCTACTTGTGGCGTTACAGGGGGACGGAGGGGACCCCAGGGGAGGAGGGAACCCAACACCTCACTCTGGGCCGGAGGGAAGCCCAGCTGCCTTGGCTGGCTCTCAGGAATGTCCTTTGTCTGGGCTGCGGGTTTTGGGAGGCGAGCGAGCGTGGAGCAAAGCCAGCCCACCTCCCCAGGGCAGCCAGGGAGGGGGGACACATCTGACCATGGGGTGCTGGGGGGGGGTCTGCCCTGCGGATGGGGGCTCCAGGAGGGCAAACAGGCGGAGAGGGTGGTCCCACCAGGGTGGGGGTGTTTTCTCTAACAGCCTTCAGACCAGCAGTAAAGCCCCGCTGGCTTCAGGCAACCTCGGGCGAGCATCAGACGTGCTAAATTCTCCTGCTTCCCCCATGGCCAAATCCTGCCTGGACCTACCAACCACCCAGGGCCAGTGGTTCCAGACTGAGCATCTTCAGGCGGGAGGGTGGTGGGAGCTGGGGGGGAGCTGAGCTTGATGTCTACCCATCTATCATCCCCCCCTAAAACCAGCATGCAACACGCACCCCGCAGAGCCACCCACAGCGAAACCCCCTCCCCTGAGACCCCACAGAACTCATCACGCCGGAGCAGGGCCCCCGGGTGGGCACCACTTACCTGGAGGTGTGGGGGCTGCCATCCCCGGGGGGCAGGATGGGTGCTGCGGGGGCCATGGGTGTCCCGGCCCCACTCCGGCTGCCGCTTTAAGCCCTGGCTTTTGATATTCGTGATTGGTTTCATAATCCCGATCAAAAGGAAATCACCAGGATTATGAAATTGTTTTAATCCTCCCGGCTCCAGCCGCGCTGGCCCTCGCCAGCATGAGCAGCAAGAAATCACTTTTATCTTCTTTAAATGGTCCCCCGCCACCCCCAGTGGCTCCAGGACCCCCATCATGGCCAAAACTGAGCCTGAGGGCTTCCTTCCCCACAGAGGATGGCTGCAGCAGCAGGGATGACTCCTTGCTCCACAGGGGACAGACTGAGCATCTTCCTCCAGCTGCTCCCAGGCAGGAGGGGACCGCTGGCAGGTTTGGGTAGAAGATCCCAAGGCAGAGAAAGCCTCCTCACCCCATACCCCAGCCCCGGGGTCCGACCTCCCCTGCGATGCCAGGACCCATCCTTACCTCCACGCCATCCTGGGGAGAGGTCCTGACTCCTCTGCCTGGGGGATGTTGTCCCCATCAAGCTGGGGACAAACCGCCCCGGTGAGGTGCCAAAGCAAGGGCAGGCGGGCTCCTGCCACCAGCCGGGCTGGGAGCACCCAGGACACAGGGATTAAACCTCCGGGAAGCGGCTGGCGTGAGCAGCAACAGGCTTAGAGCGATTTCAAGGCGCTGGGCTCTCTTCTGGAGGAAGATTGATTGCAAGAAGACGATGAAAGGATTTAAGAAAGCGAAATGAAAGCACAGACCCCAGACAACCCAGGGCTGGGCTGTTCAGCCTCTGGTCACCCACTGTGCAAGGAGGACACCTTGGACCAGAGACAAGCTGGAGAGAGGCAACCAAAATCTCCCAGAGCCTGTAGCCGGTACGGCACAGTCTGTTCCCTCCAGCATCACCCCCTGCGTGTGGGATCTGAGCCCTGGGCACCTTCCCGTGAACCCCTCTTGTCCACCTCCAAGCCCTTCTCAAACATCTCCCTCCTCCAAGCACCTCCACCTCCTCCTGGGACACAGATCTCCCCCTCCTCGGGCCACCAGTGACAGCCCACAGCTCCCAAGGGCGCAAGAGCAGTGTTTCCAGACTGGCAGAAGAGAACACTTTGTGGGGGGAGGCAGCACCAGGGGTGGGACGTGGGAAGAAAGACACACAGACCGGGGACAAAAGAGCCATCAGATCATTGGAAAACAAAGAGCTTGTAATAATGAAAAAAGGACAGATCTTGTAACCAATCACTTTTTCCTTTGAAAAACACAATCACAGTAACTTTGCTTTATACAACCACCTAGAAACTATGAAACAGTATCACATTGTGCATTTTTTTTTTTTAAAACCTACTTATCAAGAAGGGTATTCCACACTTCAAAAATTATATCCATTTGGGGAGGAAAGAGGAGACAGCTAATAGCGCAGTCACAGATACATCATGAGTCCAAGCAAGCGGCAATTCTTTGTCCTCACCTTTTCCACTTAGCCAAAAAAGAAGAGTGGAGAAGGGGATAGCAAAAGAGAAAGGAGGAGGAAAGAAAGAAAGCACCCACAGAGGACTAATCACACTCCATAATTACTTTTGACATCTACAGGGCTTCATAGAAAGATCATTTCGACCAACACAGCGGGGAGGGGAGAGGAAGGCGGCAGCGGGACCTGGGGGGAAACTTCAGCATTTCCACCCCAGGCCCCTTCCAAATGCCAATCCTTCACCAGGACCTATGGGACGGAGAGGTCATCACAAGTTCTACCAGGCTGCCCAATTTCTCCTCTGGAGCAAAGAGTCTGTAATTTGGTTTCTAAAGCTTGAGGGACTGTCAAGGCCATGGGGTGTCTGCTCAGGCAGGGTCAGTGTCTCTCGCCCCCCATGGCACGGCTGTGCCAGAGCCAAAGCAGCCTTTGACTCCCACTGGGAGCAGGGATGGGGCATCAGCACCCAGCTTCATGCAGTATTACCAGCCCTTTCCTTCTCCTCCCCCCCCTGCAAAACCTGCATTTCTTCTGCAGCCAGGATGCTGCAGCAGAGAGTGGAGCCCCCATGGCGGTGGCAAGTCAACAGCTTGTCCCACAGTGTGGTATTTGGGATGGCATCATGTAAGGGAGGCAAGGGTTAATGAGGTGACAGCCACTGAGCCCAACTGTGACTGCTGCGGTTACCAAAGGGATCTTCCACTCTTCCCCAGGAGCCCCAGCCCCTCTTTTCCAAGGAGATAAACCAACCCGATCACCTTTTGGAATAAAAATGTAAATAAATACACCAGGAGCCCCAGCCCCTCTTTTCCAAGGAGATAAACCAACCCGATCACCTTTTGGAATAAAAATGTAAATAAAAAAAAGAAAAAAATGCTTAAGGCAGAAGATCATCTTCCCCTTGCGAGTGCAAAGCAGAACGGTGAAGGAGAGGAGGGAGGACATGGGGCCAGAGATGGCTTTTGTGTTCCCAACGGGAGCCAAGCCATGCCCCTGTCCCAGGGCACGTCCCAGCATGATGGCCCGGTATCGGGGTCACAAATAACCCCCAAAAAAGCCTGGGGCACACACCGGGTCACAGCAGGCAGTACGCAGCAGCATCCTTGCAGGATAAGGCCAAATTGGCTCAGCTGTTCAAAACGTCACCAAAGCTTGAAGGCTTTGTGCTGGTCCCCCTTGCTCCTTGAAAGATCCACAATAAAATCCCCAGGGATCGTTATCTCCTGACCCAGGACCCTACTTTTCCCTCCCTGCCTCCCACACAGCTCCGGTGGCCGAGCGGCGGCGAGGAAGCAGAACAAGCAGCACAAGAAGTTATCAATCAGGGAAATAAGAGCAGGAGGATCCAACCCTGCTCCACAAGAAACTTTTCTTGGAGACCTTTCCCACCGCCGGTCATCCTCCCACGCCCTGTGTATCATACCATTGGCTTTGGACAAACAGCAAAGACACCGACAGAAGAAGGGGGGCTGGGAGCCGGGCAGGGAAAGGTGTAGGATGAGCAACAGCTGATTTTGGGAAGGCGCCTGGATTTGAGAGGTAGGAGCTTATTGGATATATAGAGGCCGCAGCCACGAGCGCTGCAAATGCATTTCTTTTAGAAGGTGGTGGGGCAGCACCAGTTCCCGTTGATGGAGCAGCTCCCACTCCTGCTCGTCGAGCCTGTGAAGCCCAAATGTGCCCCCGCTGCCCCATCAGGGGTGCTCACCCCATGGCACATGGCATTGCCTTCCCCAGGCATGGGGACCTGGCGCTTCTGGTGACACTGTCCCAAAGCCATGCAGGGAACTCCAGATGCTGAAAATCCTAACCTCCCCACCCTGCACCCCGAAAATCCCTGGAAGAGCAGGAAGGATGAAAACCAGCACAGAGCAGCGAGTTCAAAGGGAGTTTCCAAAATTCAGTGGTCACACTGTGACATCTCCCCCCCTTAAGCAGGACCATCTGCAATGGTTTCCACCAAAGTGGCTTCCACACCAACCTTGGAGCCTACTGCAACTAGAACTTCTGACAAGCCTCCAGTGAACCAAACTGCAAGGACAGGGAGAGCTCAACATCCAAAACCCAGCGCTGCTTCGCGACAGCCGGACTCCAGACCTGTCTCAGCTTCCACTTTCCATCCAGCTACATCCCAACAACTAAAGCGCTGGATAAAAAAAAAGACCCACAGCTCCTTTTAACTCTGATCTCCAAGACTTCTGGATTGTCACCCTGCTGTTCTCCCTCCAGGAGCCTTTCCAAGCTCACGAAATGAAACCACCCCAGGACTCTCCTCGCTCCCGTTGCACAGGCTGCTCACAAGGAGCGACGGGGCTATTTTCTCTCACCATCTGCTCGGCTTCGTTAGGTCTCCCTTTATTGGCCAGATGTTCTCGTAGACACGGAGCCATCTCGGCTTTAGCGCTCACTCTCGGGAGGAATCCACACTCCTGACTTCTCAGAAATCTCTGGGAGGGAGAGAACAGGGGGACGCAGCACTGGGAGCCTTTAAAATCCCTGCCTCCAGGAATTCAGGCTCCTTTTCCCCCCCGAGAGAGCGCCTTTGCTGCCAAAGGGGACGATGTTTTATTTCAGGAGATAACGTTTGCTAGCTGCAGCGTGCCACCTCCCCCCTTTATCTTATTTCTCCTGCCAGCAAAGACAGAGAAAAAGGGAAAGGAAAGAGCAGAGCAGGGAGCAGAGCAGATCAACAAGACCGAATTCTTGCTTCCCCTAAGGATTTGGGTGAACTACAGAACAAGAATTTAATTACTCGCAGCTTCACCCTCCCCACCAGGTTGGGAAGCGGGTGGTTGGATGGTGCAGTGGCAGGACACTGGCCACCCAGCCATGTCCCTCTCCCCCCAGCCCAGCTGAGGAAGGCAGAGCCCTCCCAGGGGACTGCCATCACTTCAAAATGTCTCTCTGCGTTTCTCCTTCACCTCTGAAAGGACGATTTACCAAGTAAACTCCGTTTCTTTTCATAAAGAACCACTTGCTTAAGTAACAGCACTGGTTTATTTTGGATTGCCCCCCTGCCCCCAGGGTGAGGCTGCCCTCCTCTACACACCCCTGGGTAGGGATGGCCTCACTCATCTCCCACCGCTCTCGCTGGAAACACCTACGCAAGGTTTGGACACGGCCACGACCGCTGCAATGCAAATCAGGACACTGAAATATTTTAAGGGGCTTTATATCTCAGGCTCCACTTCCATACGAACAGGGACTCTCCGTTTGAGCATGAACAACAGACCTAAGGGAGTCAAACACGGGAAAAACAGGCTTCTGGGCCACCAACGGGATGACCACCACAACCCCTGCCAGTCCAGCTGCCCTCTCGCTGGAGCAGACCGACGCGGCAGAAGATGTGAGGAGGAGCACCACGACACACCAACTACTCCACCACACACCCTGTCACAGCAGGTCGCTGACAGAGCAGAGGCATCTCCTGGCAGGTCCACCAGAGATGGTTTGTAAGCTGAGAGCACATCACAGGAGCGCGGGTAGTTACGGGTTTGCAGTGTTGCCCTCAGCCTGGTACGGGTTCACCACCACTGAATTTGAATCTATTTCAAATTAAACAAAGAGAACTAAGTTTCCTTCTTCAGTTCCTCTGGGCAAGAGGCACAGCAGGCAAACTGAGAAAATGCAACGTACCAGTCATGTGAGAAACCATGCTATTAGCTAATTAAGAAACAATAACCACTGAACAGCAGCTGAGCAGGGATTCCTGCAGCTCCGTGGCCCAAACTAGAAGCAAGTCACCAGACATCAGTGCGAGGATCCTACTTGAGGAGTTTCACCCTTCTGTTGCAGTCCTAGCACCACGGCTGCCTAAGAGCCGGGCAGAGGGGAAGGTGGCAGTCCTAGGGACCTCAGCCATGCCAACCCAACCCAGCAGCAGCAGTCCTGGCTGCGAGGTTCAGCTCCAGCTGCCCTTGCCCACCAGAGAGTGGGGAGCACATGTCACATCAGGGGAAGGAGAGAGGGACTCTGCAGGCCCCCATGTTGCCTTTCCTACAGAGGGAGAGACCAATGAGACCATCAAGTTAGCATCGCTCTTCCGAGATAATGTGGCTTCCCTCTACCCAAGTCTGCCCCATAGCATCTCACCAGGTCAGTGAGGTGACCAAGTCTCCCAAAGGACCCAAAGGAGATGAGGAGACCAGGGGCACAAGTAACAGCCAAAAAAAAAGACCCACAGCTCCTTTTAACTCTGATCTCCAAGACTTCTGGATTGTCACCCTGCTGTTATCCCTCCAGGAGCCTTTCCAAGCTCACGAAATGAAACCACCCCAGGACTCTCCTCGCTCCCGTTGCACAGGCTGCTCACAAGGAGCGACGGGGCTATTTTCTCTCACCATCTGCTCGGCTTCGTTAGGTCTCCCTTTATTGGCCAGATGTTCTCGTAGACACGGAGCCATCTCGGCTTTAGCGCTCACTCTCGGGAGGAATCCACACTCCTGACTTCTCAGAAATCTCTGGGAGGGAGAGAACAGGGGGACGCAGCACTGGGAGCCTTTAAAATCCCTGCCTCCAGGAATTCAGGCTCCTTTTCCCCCCCGAGAGAGCGCCTTTGCTGCCAAAGGGGACGATGTTTTATTTCAGGAGATAACGTTTGCTAGCTGCAGCGTGCCACCTCCCCCCTTTATCTTATTTCTCCTGCCAGCAAAGACAGAGAAAAAGGGAAAGGAAAGAGCAGAGCAGGGAGCAGAGCAGATCAACAAGACCGAATTCTTGCTTCCCCTAAGGATTTGGGTGAACTACAGAACAAGAATTTAATTACTCGCAGCTTCACCCTCCCCACCAGGTTGGGAAGCGGGTGGTTGGATGGTGCAGTGGCAGGACACTGGCCACCCAGCCATGTCCCTCTCCCCCCAGCCCAGCTGAGGAAGGCAGAGCCCTCCCAGGGGACTGCCATCACTTCAAAATGTCTCTCTGCGTTTCTCCTTCACCTCTGAAAGGACGATTTACCAAGTAAACTCCGTTTCTTTTCATAAAGAACCACTTGCTTAAGTAACAGCACTGGTTTATTTTGGATTGCCCCCCTGCCCCCAGGGTGAGGCTGCCCTCCTCTACACACCCCTGGGTAGGGATGGCCTCACTCATCTCCCACCGCTCTCGCTGGAAACACCTACGCAAGGTTTGGACACGGCCACGACCGCTGCAATGCAAATCAGGACACTGAAATATTTTAAGGGGCTTTATATCTCAGGCTCCACTTCCATACGAACAGGGACTCTCCGTTTGAGCACGAACAACAGACCTAAGGGAGTCAAACACGGGAAAAACAGGCTTCTGGGCCACCAACGGGATGACCACCACAACCCCTGCTAGTCCAGCTGCCCTCTCACTGGAGCAGACCGACGCGGCAGAAGATGTGAGGAGGAGCACCACGACACACCAACTACTCCACCACACACCCTGTCACAGCAGGTCGCTGACAGAGCAGAGGCATCTCCTGGCAGGTCCACCAGAGATGGTTTGTAAGCTGAGAGCACATCACAGGAGCGCGGGTAGTTACGGGTTTGCAGTGTTGCCCTCAGCCTGGTACGGGTTCACCACCACTGAATTTGAATCTATTTCAAATTAAACAAAGAGAACTAAGTTTCCTTCTTCAGTTCCTCTGGGCAAGAGGCACAGCAGGCAAACTGAGAAAATGCAACGTACCAGTCATGTGAGAAACCATGCTATTAGCTAATTAAGAAACAATAACCACTGAACAGCAGCTGAGCAGGGATTCCTGCAGCTCCGTGGCCCAAACTAGAAGCAAGTCACCAGACATCAGTGCGAGGATCCTACTTGAGGAGTTTCACCCTTCTGTTGCAGTCCTAGCACCACGGCTGCCTAAGAGCCGGGCAGAGGGGAAGGTGGCAGTCCTAGGGACCTCAGCCATGCCAACCCAACCCAGCAGCAGCAGTCCTGGCTGCGAGGTTCAGCTCCAGCTGCCCTTGCCCACCAGAGAGTGGGGAGCACATGTCACATCAGGGGAAGGAGAGAGGGACTCTGCAGGCCCCCATGTTGCCTTTCCTACAGAGGGAGAGACCAATGAGACCATCAAGTTAGCATCGCTCTTCCGAGATAATGTGGCTTCCCTCTACCCAAGTCTGCCCCATAGCATCTCACCAGGTCAGTGAGGTGACCAAGTCTCCCAAAGGACCCAAAGGAGATGAGGAGACCAGGGGCACAAGTAACAGCCAAGCCACAGGGCAGTGCACTGAGATAGTGCCCGACAGAGGCTTTTTGCCAAACCAGAAGCCACCAGGAGACCTGTTTTCAATTCCACCTTCCCCATCAGGTGGGCACACCACAGTCCTTTCCACGCTCCCTGACACCTCTCCAACACACAACCGCTCCTGAACCCCCAGCCTGCTCAAGTCCCCACTCCCAGAACCATCACCTTCCTCGCCTTGTCCCACTTCACTGCTGGGCTGCAGTAGAACACCAGGAAAGCTCTCTGCTCAGTACGGGATGCCCTCACACCACCTAAGGATTATTAAGGCTTTGAAAAAAATACTTTTTGAGCTGGAGAATGAAGTTCTGAAGCCTTTGTACGCTTAGCTTTTGCGCTGTTTGTAGGACCCAACTCTCCTTTCTAAAGGGCCTTTAGGACCATCTGCACTACTTTCACACAGCTGCATGGAAAGTTGGCCTTGAACCGGTACAAGAGACATGCCCAGAAGCAGTAGCAGCAACTAAAAAAATCAAAAAAGAGAAACTTTGGTTTAAAATAAAATTGAAGAGAAAAGAAAGAGAGAAAAGGTAAACACAGGTGCAAGTTGTCTCACGAGAGGGGTATCTGCAGGCCACAACCCCACAACTCTGGAGATCTAGATCTACATTCCCGGCTTTGTTTTACCATTAAAACCTTCATTGCACAGGACTCAAAATCACTCTCATATGGTTGTTAAGTTTCATAAATAATGTGAAAACTATATGCAACAGATACATCATATTTCCAAAAAATTATAAGAAAAGTTACATCAAATTAAAAAGTAGCTTCATGAATGAAGATACTGCTCTAAGTGCACTTTCCCTGCAAGTGCAGCCAGTGCCTCAGCGCTGGATATGAAGAAAAAAAAAAACGAAACAAAAACAGGTGCAAGTTGTCTCACGAGAGGGGTATCTGCAGGCCACAACCCCACAACTCTGGAGATCTAGATCTACATTCCCGGCTTTGTTTTACCATTAAAACCTTCATTGCACAGGACTCAAAATCACTCTCATATGGTTGTTAAGTTTCATAAATAATGTGAAAACTATATGCAACAGATACATCATATTTCCAAAAAATTATAAGAAAAGTTACATCAAATTAAAAAGTAGCTTCATGAATGAAGATACTGCTCTAAGTGCACTTTCCCTGCAAGTGCAGCCAGTGCCTCAGCGCTGGATATGAAGAAAAAAAAAAACGAAACAAAAAAAAAAATCAGATTTAAAAACTTAAGTCCGGTTTCAACCAGTCAAAACCGGGCCAAGCAGAAACCGAGCGTGTTCTCGGCACTGTCCCATGAGGGAGTCCCTATGATGCTTCGTTATCCAGACAGGTTTGTATGTCCTTGTTGAGACTGTAAACAATCCTTCTTTCCTGAACTGTCCTCTTTATTGGCAAAGTAAAATATTTTATTTTGTTTTTTTTTTGTTTTTGTTTTTTTTTTTTTTTTTTTTTTAAAATAGAACATTAAAATTAACCCAGAAGAAAAGAAATGAAACACAGTGAGCTTGTTGGAGTCCATAGGATCTGGTCTGGAAGAGCTCGGAAAACATGTTTGGTGTTTTCTCCTGTTTTCAGCTGGAACTGTACCAGAGATCGGGTTACTTGGGGAAGAGGGGAACAGAACGAGAAAACAAAGGATGCGGAATAAGAGACCGTGGCCATCTCATGTGTTCACTTCATTCGCTAGGTCCTCTATCAATACCTTAGTGTCACAAGCCTTGGAGGACCTGCAAAAAAAAAAAAAATAAAAAATCAGAAAACACTCAATGGGGAGAAGAAATTCCCGTTAGTACATGCAGGAAATCACAGAATCACAGAATCTTCTAGGTTGGAAGGGACCTTAAAGATCATCTTGTCCAACCGTCAACCTAACTGACAAAAATAGACATCCACACAACAAACAAGGAGCATCATCACTAAACCATACCTCCCAGCACTACATCAACCCGTCTTTTGAACACCTCCAGGGATGGGGCCTCAACCACCTCCCTGGGCAGCCCATTCCAACGCCTGATAACCCTTTCAGTGAAAAAATTTTTCCTAATATCCAGCCTGAACCTCCCCTGGCACAACTTGAGGCCATTTCCTCTTGTCCTGTCACCTGTGACTTGAGAGAAGAGACCGACCCCCATCTCTCTACACCCTCCTTTCAGGTAGTTGTAGAGAGCAATAAGGTCTCCCCTCAGCCTCCTCTTCTCCAGGCTGAATCGCCCTTCTCTGGACCCGCTCCAGCACCTCCATGTCTTTTTTATGGTAGGGGGCCCAAAGCTGGACACAGTACTCAAGGTGAGGCCCCACCAGTGCCGAGTACAGGGGGACAATCACCTCTCGGGCCCTACTCGCCCCAGCTGTCCCTCAGCATCCTCCTCCCATGGCTCTGCCCACGCCACACCACGATGGCCACCTTGTGTGCACGGACAATGCCCTCTGCCGGGCTGTGCCGATGGCCAGCCAGGGACAACTGAGGCAACGCTGGGCACACTGCATCCATCCACCCCTCCCCACAGGACTCCCTAAAACCTCTGCAGCAGGTGCTGCAAATCCAAAGCAGCCTTCCCGCTCGACCCGTCACTGGGCTGCAGGAAGGTACAGCGGCTTATTTGGGAATATCAGTCACAGAATCTTCATGGTTGGAAGGGACCTCTGAGATGATCAAGTCCAACCACTAAAAAACCCACCCAAAAAAAGCCCACACAAAACCCACGAACAGACACAAATCAACAATTTCAGGCACTAGAGCATGCTCTGAAGTGTGATGTCTACATGTTGCTTAAATATCTTCAGGGATGGCGACTCCACCACCTCCCTGGGCAGGCTGTTCCAGTGCCTGACCACTCTCTCAGTAAAGTCATTCTTCCTAATATCTAATCTAAACCTCCCCTGACACAACTTTAGACCATTTCCTCTGCTCCTGTCATTATTCCCTTGGGAGAAGAGGCCAATACCCAC